TCGAATGATAACCTGATCCTTAATTGTTTCATTGCTTCAATGATACCGCTGATGACCTTTGAATTTATTCAATTCGCCGTTAGATGGGGCAGTTAATCTTACATTAAGCAATATGCGAAAGCTTGTAGAAACTTTTGATAACACGGACAAGTGCGTAGCTTTGAAGTTGCAGCGCGGTGTACTTTGATTGTAAATACCCTGGAATAAAGGCAAATCGCGAGAACTAGAGAGAATTTAGCAAAACATCATTCATTATGTTTTTCCAGGTACAGATGATGTACTTCTTTCAATTACCATGGCTATTAAAATAAACGAGTTCATTAGCATCTTTAATCAATTCCAATAATATTTCTAACATGAAATCGAGAAAAGCCGGTTGGTATCAAATATGATTTCTCTCTTTCAAACGACGATAATTTGTTTTAGCGAAAAAAGAAAAAAAAGACGATTTCCTATCCACTGTTTCGGTCTTATTGATAGACTTCTCTCGGAGAGCAATCTACTCGAGTTGAAAATACACTTATTTGAAAATTACTTAATTCAGGAAGCTAGAAAAAACAAAGCCACTCTAGATTTTTCGACAACCGGCAGTGAAATGTCACTTGAAGAGGGAGGTAAGGAAAAAATATCGGATCAAAAACAAACTTTCCTACATAAAAGAAGATAAATTTAAAAAAACCGTTTCATAAAAGTTGTACCAGCAGCAAAAGTATTTCCTTAATTTTCTTCGATAATTCAAGAAGCATTACAAACGTTAATTTTGAAGATTGAAAATAAACACCTGCGAGGACTGAAAGGCGAAAACAAAATCTGCAGATGTTTCTTAAGTTTTTTCAGTTGTATCTGTTTGAAATATCAATTCTGTACACCCATGACTGGATATTTTTTTTAACATTAGTTTCAAGAACGTAGCGTTTCATCATGAACACGTTTACCTTTTGTGCTGCACTTAGACGTTTGGCTTCTTGATTATAATTACCATGATAACAAAGAGATATACGACGCCAATTTTTCGTGGTTGGAAGAAAAATCAAACGAAATACAAAATTGTTTTCACCTTCCTATTTATCTTACGAATGTTCTCGTTCAGTTAATGCATTTCAAGCATCAGTTCCTGTTCCTGGTTTTTCATCAGCCGGCAGCCTCCCACAGATTTTTATGACTGTTTCTTTTAATTGTCTCAAAACTGGCCCACGCGCACTCTGTGTGACAGCGTGAAGAATTATTATGTCGATGTCACACACACTCACCGTAGTCCACACGGAAGTCAGATGCATCGTCACTCTCTCTGTCAGTTCAGGAATCCTTAATTCTTATTTATTTATTTATTTATTTATTTTCTACGCTTAATCTAAAGTCTTCCTTGTATGCAAGGAAGAATAGATAGCTCTTCTGGCCAAAACAGTGTTCCACGCGAGAGGTGGTAAATCACACGTGACACGCACTTGGTATTCCATTCGATTTCATCAGTCGGTTTCACTGCAAAGACTGCTGGATCCCGCTGGAGATCAGAGAGCTGTCAATTCGAGCCCTTCGTTGACAGACAATCTGGTCAGCGTTAAGTTAGGGGAGAAGTAAATGGCATGTGTAATCATCATTTTGTGGGTTTGACGTAATGATTCTAAAACATGGCCGTCAGCTGAGAAACCTTACATCGATGAGGTAAGTTTTGTCATATTTTTCTTTGAATGGGTTTGTTGATCTAAACGATGAGTCTTCCTTGTTTTTTTTTGCTTTTAATTCAGGAATCGAGAATTTTTTTTCGTTGTTGTCATTAAAAACTTTCAGGGAGTCATTTCGGATATCGAAGTCGAAGAATTAGCCTGAATCGTAGGGTCATCGAGGGATATTAGAACATTTCCGAATTAAGATGGACTCAAAATGTCTCTGTAGTAGCTGTTTACGTTGGTGTGGAAGGTCTTTATGCCGTTTTATCCAATCACAAGAGGAAGGAATACGAAGTAAACGCCGTTTGGTTGGGGGAGTGATCGTTTTGCTTATGGTGGATGTGATTTGGGTTGGCTCAGCAGAGTTAACTGATGTTAGTGAAATTTCTCTATTATCATCTAACTAAATCCACGTGTCTTTGAGCATGCAGGGGGGAGGGGAGTAGCAAAAGAGGTGGAAGGTTCTTAGAGGAAATGACTTTTACAAACCTAAACAGCATAAAATTATATTTTCTCAAATGCATTGAGTGAAATAAACCGTTTTTCTACCTGTGGTCGATTTATAAGAAACAAACTGATCCTCCCAGGTGAACTGCAATCAGAGAAATGTCATCAGTGGCAGATCCAGACTTTGAGCTGAGAGGGGGTTCTAATGCCAACTAAACTATGAAACCTGAATTTTTCTGGCTTCTTTTGTTTCAGTTTCTTTTAATTGCAGTTCACTTGTGAGGATCATCCAGACTTCACCCTTTTTCTATTCTTCAAGGGAAAAATTTTGGCTCAGTGTGTTTTTTTTTTTAAACACGAAGGCGCACTTTAAAAGGAGCCTTAGGTCCCACTGGACCATTCGTCAGCTTGAGCTACACCTACTCCAAAGCAGTGAACAGTGGGTGCATTCCTCAAAATTGTTTTATGTCTTCATCACAATACAAGAATTTTTGAGATTTGTATTTCCTTTCTCCAATGGAAACTGTCTTTATTTGTGGCGGTAAATAGTCCCTTTTACAGTTGTGGGCTTGGTGGCCAAGCCTTTGAACAGGAGTGAGGCTAAGGGTGACCTTGTTATGATAGAGATGTTGCTGCTTTTCAAATGCAAATTACTTTGTTATCATGTTAACTAGATACAGGTCTCTATCACAACAGGGTCACCCTTAGTCTCACTCCTGTTCAAAGGCTTGGCCAACAAGCCCACAACTGTAAAAAGGACTATTTGAGATCGAAGTAGGTGGTTCGCACATTACCTCATGCCACCATGCTGGTGGAAGTGAACAATAGACATCTCATTAGCTCCGTTTGTTCATCTACCAGCATTTAAATTTGACCCGCACACGTCAACGGTGAGGGACAAATGAGCCTAGGTCTTCCCAGGGAAGACTTCCTTATATAGCGCGCCTTCATGTTTAAGGCCAAAATCTGGTTTGCACCTTATTCCTCAAATCCCTCCTTTATAACATAATGACATATACTGAACTTGAGTTACCTAGAAATAAGGTAAATTTCTGTTACTTTTGCTAATAGTGCAGGTCAAACACCATGGTCTAATGGTTAGTGCCAAGGGCTCCAGTGTCCAGTGGTATAAGGGGCCCATAATGCTGTCCAACGGAAAAATTACTAACCAGTGGATAAGTGATAGCAAACATATGGCATTATGCACTGGATAGAGATTTCTCCAGTGGATAGTGTTATCCAGTCTTCAAACAATCCAGGGCTAGGTCAAGAGTTCTGGATCTTAACCCTTTCACTGCCAAGATCTCATTAGAAATTCTCCTTACTGTTTGCAATGAATTCTTATCATGTAAGTTTGGAGAATTTAGCATTGGATCAACTAAAAATCCCCTTTATGATATTTATCTGTATTCTCATCACTTGTCTGCTTGATATGATATTGATATTGTAAGTAGAAATTCTGTCTTGGTCACTCATGGCAGTGAAAGGGTTAAATGTGGCTGAGTCATATGTATTGTGTTCTTGGGAAAAACAATTTACTTTTACTGTGCCTATGGGCTCTCTATCGAAGAGTATAAATAATGAATACTGGCAAATTATCAATTGAAAGAAGCTTGATGAAATGCTTGGTAACCTTGTGATGGACTGGCGCCCCATCCAGGGGGGAACAGTTTTACTTTTAGTTGCTCCTTGCTATATTGGAACAAGGATAAGTTCAGGCTGAATGGGTCACTTGGCTAAAAGCGCAGATTTAATCCACTACTAATAGTTGATTTATTTGATTGTAGTTTATCTTTAAAAGTGAAGGATTTAACAGGCCATTTTTCACCACGTACGTCAAGACATCATCTTTTATGATCTATCTCACTGGATTCCTTTTTTATGAGCCGTGGAGAGTATATTGTACTAACTGTGATGAAACAACTAATGTAAGTTAACATATGTATCCACAAGGGATGCTACAGATATAGCTCAGGAAACAAAATACTTGTATTTGGGTAGGATTTTATTCCAGGCAAGAATTCAGAACAAAAAAAAGTTGACCCAAATAAAGTCTGTGAAGAGGCTCTCCAGTCACAGGCAGAGAAAAGAGGAATGTGGGAAGGAAAAGAGTGAGAGGGAGGTATGGGTAGGAAGAAGGCAGTGAAGGGAGAAGAGCTTCCCCTCCCCACAGTCCTGAGCAATTGTCAAGACCAAGGGCTCAGTTTTTTTCCTATACTGACCAACCTAGACCAGTACATTCTTTACCGAGCTTTTGTCAAGACCAAGGGCTCAGTTTTTTTCCTATACTGACCAACCTAGACCAGTAAATTCTTTACCGAGCTTTTGTCAAGACCAAGGGCTCAGTTTTTTTCCTATACTGACCAACCTAGACCAGTAAATTCTTTACCGAGCTTTTGTCAAGACCAAGGGCTCAGTTTTTTTCCTATACTGACCAACCTAGACCAGTACATTCTTTACCGAGCTTTTGTCAAGACCAAGGGCTCAGTTTTTTTCCTATACTGACCAACCTAGACCAGTACATTCTTTACCGAGCTTTTATCAAGACCAAGGGCTCAGTTTTTTTCCTATACTGACCAACCTAGACTAGTAAATTCTCTATTTTTTTCTGCTGGTTTGCTTTTCTCTGTTTTTGTTCAAATGGCACAAGAAACATTCTGGACCATGGTCCGTATTTTTCAAAACGCTGAACCTGTTACAAGCATGGGGTTAACTGATCAAATTTGAGGATTTAAGTTTCCAGCCCACTGAGATGCTCTAGAAAAGACTAACTCAGAGTTAGTTATAAAGATGTAACTTGTTTCTAATGTGTAAGGGGTATGTTTCAAATCATTCTGATTATGGTTGTGCTCTTAGGTGTCTTTAGGTTCAGAAACAGGACAGCTCTGTAAACAGATCTCGAATCTCGAAATACACGGCTGTCCCAGTAGCTTACGTTTTCTCGGATTCTTCTGCCAGCCAGGAGGTAGCCATGTAAACACTGCTCGCCAAATGCGCCTGTAGAATGAGCAAAAACTTCAATCTGAAACGATCTATTCGACATAAAAACAATCTATTCGACATATAAGACTCTTCTAGGCACACAGCTTCAAAAAATCAGTTGAAATCCCCTAAAAAGAGCTTCAAGGACACAAGTTTTACTTACATTTTCCCCAGAACGGCTTTCTCCTACAAATTTCGTTGTCAACGAACCATGGACGACGAAATCACAAACAGACATGCGCAGCACGCGCATCTGTGCAAATCTAACTTCTGGTCGTCGTTGTCGTCTCATTTCATCGTCGTATCTTAAGTTCCCTAATTTCACGGTGGCTTTACTCTTCATCATGTTTTCTTGTTTGCTTGCTTGTTTTTGTAATTAGGTATCAGTATCAGTTGAAAGCCAAGCTGGAGAACGTTCATCACTTTTAAACTCTACGGAGACATCAGCATCTCCCACAACACACTTGGTGCTGATTATTTTTATATTTCTCATTATTTTTATCATTATATTTATCATTATTTTTATCATTATATTTATCATTATTTTTATCATTATATTTATCATTCTCATCCCAACAATAGACAATTTTCTCACAACTCAAGAGTTTAATTTTGCCCAGTCGAGTGATTTTCAGGCATCAAATTGTAATCTTAATTAACAGCAACCAATGGCATTCATTATCTTAATTACCAATGAATCACCGTACATGTCATTGGAACACATGGGTGATATCACAAAAACTAAACCATCTTGAATTCCAAGGCGTACAATAAACTGGAAATCTGTGAAATGTTTCAGTAAGGATGAGTCTAACAAATGAAACTCTTAAGTAGATTTTTGAAAAGGCAAGCAGGTCAAGGAACCACGACAGAATGAATTTTGCCATGTGCTTCCTTCTTATTTGCTTCTTATTTTTATTGACTTGTGCAACGGACTTCACTGAAAAGGAGGGACTACTCAGAGTCTATTGTTTTCATTCTCACTATCTTGTACTGATTCTTGTTCTTGTTCTCATTCTCATTATCGTTCTTGTTCTTGTACTCTTTGTCGTTCTCTTTCACGTTCTCTTTGTCGTTGTTTTTCCCGTTCTCATTTTTTTTCTCATTCTTTTTCTCATTCTCATTCTCATTCTGGTTATTGTTCTCATTCTCGTTCTCACTCATCGTCATTTTTGTTCTTGTTCTCTTTCTTGTTCTCTTTCATGTCCTCTTTGTCATTCTCTTTCATTTCCTCTTTGTCATTCTCTTTCATGTCCTCTTTGTCATTCTCTTTCATGTCCTCTTTCTCATTCTCTTTCATGTCCTCTTTCTCGTTTTCTTTCATGTCCTCTTTCTCATGCTCTTTCTTGTTCTCTTTACATTCTCATGATTATGGTAATTGTTCTCATTTTCGTTCTTGTTCTTATTTTCATTCTTAAATTTTTGTTCTCATTCTCGTTCTTGTCGTTATTATCATCATTATCATCATTAGTATTACTATCATTACTATGTTCATTTAATATAAACCAACCACTAAGGTGTTATACAACAGTATAATTATTATACCTTTCCTAAGGTTCTAGCAGTTTAGCAAGGTTTTTCTTCTTATTTAACCCTAACTCCTATGTCATTTCTGACTACAATGTCAATTACCTTGGCATGTCTGCTCAGGTTTGCGTAGAGTTATTAGATCAAGTCCTCTAACTCCGATATTATGGCTAGTTTAAATACTTTTAGTCAACTGTTGTTGAATTTACTTTAATTTATTATAATTATAATTAATACTAGTCATATTAATTACATTTCCTCAAGACTCCAATTTTTTCAATGATTATTTGTATTTCCTATATGCAGAATGAGCCAACTTTTGAACAAATGACAGATGATGAGCGCACCAGCGAAGTTGATATACATGTAGTTTCTAGTGATTCATATGAAATAATTTCAAGTAGGTGATGCTCAATTAGATTGCAGTAATATTACATGTAGATGTGTCTCATTTTATGTGTTATAGTACATATATAATTAGCAAAGTATGTCTTCCTGGAGCTCCTAACCTACTGGTAATATTATTTCTTTATAAAAAGTGTTAATTTGGAGAATTTGTACATAAAACAAGACAAGATGTCTTTCCTTTAGAAGAAGTTGAATTTAATTTTTTTTTATATTTGATTTTATATTTTATTTTTTGACCCTGGTGGAGTTGTTGCTCTGAAATGGAACCAGTCAATGACTGACTTTCTACAGACTGTCCAAGCTTTAAAACCTGAACTTTGTAACCATTTGCTCACAAAAGAGAACTACCTATTTACCTTACACATCTTCATATCTGAAGAATGACATAACACTTATATTCCGCTGGAAAGACTTGCACTTCCAGTACAATTTCCACACCTTAGCCAGGCAAGGTTCAAATTCTTCATCCCCTGGGCACAGACGATGGCCGTGGATTGTTGGGGGTGGGTGGATGTCGAAGATTTGAATTAATAGGTGCATTAATTTCTATCAATGAAGTTTTCTTCACTCTGTGGTATAAACTTTTTTTTCTATTCAGAGCCAAGAAAAGTCACTTTCAACAATGTGAGAGAGGTGCGACAGTTAGCAGGTAAATAGTACTTAAAATGTTTAACCCTTCTAACCTCAACATCAGTATGCATATTCTCCATACTCTTCTCCCAATGTTTTCTGAGGCGCTGACAAGGAGAATTTGTGTTGACAATCAAGCCTCCTAGATCAGTGATCATTTCCTGTAGTCTCCTAAACTCAATGAATGACTGAGTGTTATTACTGTTATTATTAATTATTACAAATAATTAATTATTAATATTACTGTTGTTATTGTTATTATTAATGATTGAGTGTTATTACTATAAGGAGCAAGAATGGGATGATCTGGTCACTCTCAGAGTTTAAACTTGATTTATACTGTGAAAGATATTTCATTTCCTTGTAAACCACACAAAGTAGAAAATATGGATATTTGGTGATTCCCTTTGTTGTTGTTTTTTTTCTATTTCAGAGTGCCTTTGAAAATTAGCAAACAACAGTGGTTTGGGGTGGTCTGTACTCTTATAGACAACTATTTTCATCATCACCGTGGTCAAAATATTGTGGACCCACTTGGCTTGCCTTGTGAGTCCGCAACAAATTTTCATGTCTATAATGACAAATATTGTTGTTGATAAAAGTACAGACCTCACTGAACCACTGTCGATTTGTTTTTTTTTACCACAGTATTGACCTCAAATAAAACAATTCTTCCAGTACATTACATGTGTCATGACACATTGGCACAAGCAGTGTTGTCTGTTCTCATATCTACAATGGCAAATTAGCCAATGAGATTGCAACATTACTGCCAATTGTGGTAAAAAGTGATTTCTCAAATTAAAGTGATGCACAAAGCAATAGAAAAAAGTCACAACCACATTTTCTACTTACAATGATAATTTTTTTTCATTTTTTACCTGCAGACCATATTGGGGAGCAGGCCAGGATTGCAAGACGACCATATCAGACTACACAAATACCAAGCCAGAAGTTGCCACTTAGAAAAGTGGCTAAAGTGGCTTTAATCTTTTGCTTTTTAGTAAGTTTAAAAAAAAGACTTTTTTATACCTGCAGACTGAATAATTTCAAATTAGAGGGTCTTCTCCTTTCATATTTACCCAATAATGGCAAACAGCTCACCTTAGATTGAGTTATCAGTAGCTCAGTGTTGGAGCATTGGAGCAGAGAATCTGAAGGTTTAGGGCTTGATTTCTTGTTGGGAATTTTTTACATCTGTCTTAAACTCATGACCAATAAATCTATTTTAATTTTGATATTGAGTCAGAGGTTCTCAGGAGTTTCATTAAGAATTTGGAGCAGGAGGGGATCTGGATTTGGCACTTGAGTATACTTCATGCAACGCTTGAAGAGCCTTCCCCCCCCTCCCACTTGTTGTTGGCGTTCTCGGGCCATGCGTTCCTCACGTTCTCGTCTGGTCTCCCAATTCCATCACTCAATTACATTGTCCTTTCGTCTCTGATTTTCCAACAGTTTCTTGGAGAGCTTGTTCTTTTCTTGTACAAACGGAGAAAACTCACTCTTTTTGTCCTTCCTCTATTGTCGGACCTCTCGAGGTGAAATTACAGAATCCAGCTTCATGCCTTCCAGTTGTAAAATAAGATCCATAATTTTGTTGATTATGTGTGTTCCTTGTTTTATGGAAATTTCAATCTCTAAGTGATCCCCACACTCTATGAGCTCATCAGCTGGCTCCAGGTAGTATTTTAACTTTGTAATCTCCTTCTCAATGTTTCCTTCAAAGCGTTCTCTCTCCTCTGAAGGTTGTTCTCCTTCCAACATGGTGCAATTGTTTCACTGTTTCAACCACACGGTCAGCCAATTTTTTTCTCAAACAATGTAAATTCTCTTGTCATTGTCTCCGCTGTTTCCCGAATCCTGGTCATGGCACCACAAATGTACCGAAACTGTGCTGTACACTCTTCACTCGCTTTCACGTCCACTCGAGAAATACACTGTAAATTAGTTTTATCTCTTCTCTTTTTATGTCCTCCTCATTCTTTCACTTCAGTAAAACTACACTCTTCTCTGATTACAGCTGTCAATCATACCGAAACTTAAGAGTCACACCATTTCCGGTCACAATCTTAAACTTATTTTAAAAAGTGCGTTAATAAGTTCAACTATGTTTTATTTTTGCAAAGATGGTCTCTTTTTGTTATTCTTTGAGATTTTGAGAGCAGCTGGGCAAAGTTGTCTTTACAGCCAGTCAATATACCTGATCATACCCAGCCCATAATAAAACCCCTGATTACTTAATAAGCACTCTGGGATTGCTCACCATTTTTGCCAACTAATTTAAAAAAACATTTTTCCATCCAGTGGTTCTGTGCAAACTGTAGTTACCAAGAAGCCATATCAAACACATCACCAGTGGCTGTTAATATTCTATCCTCTTCATCAGGTAAAGGAAAAGTTTTAGATTCACCTAGTTATGGATTCTATTAAGTTGTTGACCTGAAGGGTGATTAGAGTCTTAATTCTCCTTTCGGTAGCACTCCTGAATCAAACAATTACAGTCACGAGAGTTAAGGAAATGAACACCAACCAAAGATACTCTTGATTATTAAACAAATTCTCCTTGTCAGCACCCAAGGAAATGTAACAAAGAGAAAATTATGGACTGAATATGCATAATCATGTTCATGTGTTAAGGTTTAAGCAAGCAAACAGAATTCTGGACACTACACCAAGATTGGATTAAGATTGAGACTTCCTCAAAAGTACCTGCCACCCTCAATTTTACCCAGAGGCTATGCTGACTTTTTTGACGTCTTTCTTTTTTGTCCAATTCAAAAGATTAAGCTGAGAAAAGGGGACTTAGTAGTTCTCGTTGCAAATAGTAGGGGTTTCGTTGTCATTTTGGAGAGTCACTAAGAAACTTAGACAAGTACATGAACTTTTTCCTTATTTCTTGAAAGCATAGTGAAAACTGAAAAGGGAAATTCTGTTGTTTCTGCTGGAAGCATAACACTTATCATACCCTTATCAGTTCTTGTTATTTTATTTCTCCGTTACAGGACTCTTTACACTCCTTTTAGCATCCATATTCCAGAGTTCAACTTCAGACAAATTTTCAATGACGAAGCTTGTTGCTGTTCTAATGAGGTGAGTTTGTGTAGTGACCTTCCTCAATTTTGTCCCTAACTAAGAGAATTATTTTTCCTTCCCATGTGTGATAAGGGGGCTATTTCAAATGGAATTGCTGGCATGGTAACTTCCTTCTAGCCAGTTCTGTTTACAATAGTACCCCTCTAACTTGAACTCTGTTCAATAAAATGTAATAATGATAATAATAATATTAATTATTTAATATTTATATTGCTCAAATTAACATGTGGATATGATCAAATATGCATCACAACACTTTTCGGGGGATTTTGGCCAGACTGCATCAGCAGTTTACAAACAGTCGAAGGAAACTTATTTGAAGATGCCCCCTCCCCCCCAATTCCCAGTAAACAGGCCAGACCACATCACAGTAATCTCGTGAGTGGGTTCTTTAACGTCCCCTGCCAAACCAAATTAACAAATGAATAGATGCAGGAGACGGATGAAGAGAAAATTGCATGAAGAGAAACTTGCAAAAAGAGTTGCATTCAGTTTGTATAAAACTTAGAATAGTCCCCTTAAATTTTCTCTGCGAAACGTTAACTGCTTCTAAAATCGAACGTTGGACTAATAAGTTAGAAAAAGCCGGTGTTTATCATACGTCTCACATAGTCTTGTCATGGAAAGAACGGAGACTAAAAAGAATAGCTTCGTCGTCTTCTCGTTTTCATTTGTATTT